ATCGCTCTCTGCCCCCTGCCCCCAGCAGCCAGGGCCCTGTGCAGAGAGTACCCTGGCTGGCTCCTTTGGCACGTAGGGGGTGCCCGGTCACTTGGTGAAGGCAGTGGGAGGCTCTCCCGCCACATTTGAAACCTCGGTTTCTCTCAGGACTAATGGGTCCATGACCAAAGGCTCATGACAGAAGTAGCCGGAGGCAGGTCCCCTCTTCAGTCCAGCTCAAAACCAGCACCACGGCGGGCGGGCGGGCAGAGGCGGGGCACCCCCTATCTACCTCCGCATGTCCTCTACCCTAGCAGATAGGGTAGTCAGCAGGTGGCTGCTGATCTGATGGGTCAGGCGCCAGGGCATTCCGGGTCAGAAGTCAGTACATGCTTGCCTGTGCCAGAGGCAGGCCCAGCCCAGCCTGCAGTCACGGTGGGCACAGCCAGGCTCTTCCGTCTCGGGAACTGGGTGAGCGAGTCAAGCCACAGCTTCGTTATACCCTCAGCCCAAGTGCAGACGTCACCCAAAGCAGCACTCCGCCCAGCTCAGTTTACAAATAAAGCGGGACTTTCGCTTTCTTGTTGATCTGGTGGTGTGGTGGTACATGTGTGTTTTCACATTTTTATTTAATTTTATTTCAGAGACAGAGATCTTCCATCTACCGGTTCACTCCTCAAATGCCCACAACAGCCAGGGCTGGGCCAGGCTAAAGCCAGGAGCCCAGAAGGCCATCCTAGTCTCCCATGTGGGTGGCAGGGACACAAGCACTTGAGCCATCAGCGGCTGCTTCCCTGGGCGCGCATTAGCAGGACGCTGGATTGGAAGCAGAGGAGCCGGGACTCCAACCAGGCACTCAGATATGGGATGCTGGCTCCCAAGCAGCAACTTAGTCATTGCACCAAACACCTGTCCCTGGGAAATATTTCCTAGGTGGGGGTGGGGAGGACAGCCCTGAACCTTTGCCAGTTTCTATGGTGTAAAAAACACTCTCTACATGGCCAATTTCAATATTCCAACAAGACCTGGGTAGCAAGAAATGCGCACTAGCACTTCCCATAGCACTTTCCATCCCAGAGATACAACAGGCAGCAATAACCTCAAGAGCTTGGACAATGGGAAAATGCAGCAAAGTTACTAGGAAGTGAAAAAGTTGTGAATGTTTGCTACCTTAGTTTTAAACATAATCATAAGTTCATATAATTTAACTGTTTTTAATGGCTGTATTTAAAGATTTTTTTATTTATTTCTTTGAGAGGCAGAGCTACAGACAAAGAGAGGTCTTCCATCACTCCCCAGATGGCTGCAATGGCCAGAGCTGGCCCGATCTGAAGGATGGTTGTATTTAAACACCAGCCCACGAATTTCTGAAAATGTGACAGCCGGCTCTCGCGAGCCCCCCACGCTGGCTCCACAGCCCCACTGCCTCCCCGCTCGGTCCCTGCACGTGGTGTTCCCTGCATCAGGAGCCCTCATGCATCCTTCCTTTTGGGGGACAGCTCTTCCATTGCATTTTGTCCTAGAGAACTGCTGCTCACAGGATCCCACTGATCGCTGACAACGGGGCCTGTGCCCACAGTAGGCCCAGCCATTGGGCAAGTAAGGAAGGGACCTCAGCTGTAAAACCATAACAAAGTCAACCCCATTCTCACTTGGGATCATGGAAAGCAGCCCAGCCCACCTCTGAACCATGTCCTACCAGAATTCACACTCAGTGAAATTCCCTGGCTCTGGGCGGGCGTTAAAACAGAGGTTAAGATATCTGGGTTGGACGCCCAGCTCCAGCTCCTGACTCCAGCTTCCTGCTAATGCACCCTGGGAGGCAGAGGAGCTGGGATCCAACTATTTGAGTTGGATAGTTGGACCTCAGCTCCCCACTTTGACCTGGCTGTTGTGGGCATTACAAGGAGTGAACTGTTAGATGGGAGCTCTCTGTCTGACTCTGTTGCCCAAATAATTTTTTTAATTAAAAAAAAAAATAAAAAGAGACCCAGACCTCACCCCTCCTACCCCCAACTCCCCATCTCTTGCAAGAGCTCTCTGAGGTTCCTGTGGCTTCCTGCCGGGGCGCTGTGCACACAGCCCTCTTGTTTCCACCCCCTCCCTGCACCAGTGTGAGAGACCCAGAAGAAGCTCCTGGCTCCTGGCTTCAGATTGGTGCAGCTCCAGCCGCTGCAGCCATCTCGGGAGTGAACCAGTGGATGGAAGACCTCTCTTTCTCTCTGTCTCTCTGTAACTCTTCCTTTCAAATAAATAAATTAAAAAAAAAAAAAGGTATTCATTGTCTCTCTCCTTGTCCCCAATCCCAAGTGCCTAAGAGAGAGATGCCAGGGTATATAAGAAGCACTTGATAAATATTGCTTGAACATGTGTATATGAATTTCTAGGAAGAACCATGGCTTTGATAAGATTATCCAAGAGTTTTTCTGCTCAAAAAAAATAAAATAAAATAAAAACAATGGCCAGCATTGTGGTGCGGTAGGTAAAGCCACTGCTTGAGATGCAGACATCGCGTATTGGAGCATGGGTTCAAGTCCCAGCTGTTCTGCTTCTGATCCAATTCCCTGCTGATGCACCTAGGAAAGCAGTGGAAGATGGCCCAAGTACCTGAGCCCCTGCCACCCATGTAAGAGACCTGGGATGGAGCTCCGGGCTCCTGGCTTTGAACTGCCTTGGCCCAGCCCTGGCCAGTGTGGCCATTTGGGGGAATGAATCAGTAGCTGGAAGATCTCTTTCTCTGTCTCTGTCACTCTTTTACATTAAAAAAAAAAAGTCTTAACAACAACAACACAGCAAACACTTCCAAGGACTCACACAAAACCTCAGGGTTCTAGAACTCAAAGATCCTTCCCGAGCAGACATGCAAACATATATTGCCCTGGGTTTCTCCCTACTCCCTTCTGACACATCAGCTGACCTGCCCTGCTCCCTGGAGACCCTGCATTCTGACCCCCAGGGAGGGCTCCCCAGCAGCGGCACGGAAGAGAAAGACCACGAGACAGACCTCGCAAGTGCGCACTGTATGTGGCGTCTGTGCTGGGCGTAGCCAGGACAGCAGTAAACACAGAACAGAAAATAACCATCTCTGGGACAACACGTGGGGCACAGGAGCTAAGCACTAACACCTAAGGAGGCGGCTGACACACTCTCGCTCTCCGAGGCAGCTCCTCTGGGCAGAGACGCTGACTTCTTTCCGGACGGCCTGGTCTTCAGTCCTTGTAGCTTTTCATCTTTTAGTGCCTTCAGGAACTTATCTGCGGGAGAGCAAAACAACGCCGCTGTAGCAGAGGGAAGGGCGTTTGCTAACACTCCCAAGGCAAACTCCTGGGCAGAAATTGGGCTCCCTCTCTGAGCCTAAAACTCATGGGTGACCCAAGAAGGGAGGAAAGCACCCCAACAGCCAAAATACATCGACCTGGCTAACTCAGTTGAGAGTTAGAAAACCGCCAGGTCCCTTGCCAGGTGTCTGAAGCATTGCAGGACCATTTCCACAGCCACAGGGACGCAAGGATTTGGGTTATTTCGTATTTCCCCTCCCTGGGTGACTGGGTGTGGCCAATTCGACCTGTTGTACACCATAGTTAGGATGGTCGCTCTAGAACCATCTGCCTTCCTCCAAGGTCAAGTGCAAGCCTTAGCCAGAACAGGCGATGGGAGAGTCTTCAGGACAGCCTATGGCTACTGAACGTTCTACCGTGCGACAGGTGCTTCTGGGACTAGTCTGCAATTCAGCCACTTGACCCTCCTACGGGGAGATACTGTCCCGACATCAGCACACCTGCTTGCCCTGGTCCAGATCCCTAAGATTTCAGATCCAAGGGCATGGGGTGACAGGGAGGTGGCTCTCCAGTGGAGAGTCCCCAAACCCCTCTTGTGGATCTTGCCCAACTCCCACCATCCCCTTACAGACAATCCAGCTGCTCATGCCCCCCACCCACCCGCCGCTCCACTTCAAGATCCAACATTCATGCCCAGGTCTCTAGAGCCTGGGACTATCTGTGGATGGGACTGTGGATAGCCTGGGACTATGTGTGGAACACATCTGTGGTAGATGTGTTCCAGGGGTGGAGGCCCGGAGTCCAGACTACAGACCGACTTAAAGGACTCGAGATGGAGTCCGGGACTAACGGGTTCATGAAGTTCAGTTTTGAAGTTGGGAAAGGAGTCGGTTGACATCCAGGGTGAAATGTGTATTCTGGGGGAGATTTTGGCCCCGGGACCCCCGGGGGCTGGAGTGTGAGCCCAGGGCACACGCTGGGGCAGGGCATGGAACCAGGGAGGGAGCCGGGGGTGGCCCCAGCGGGTCACGCACAGCGCTGGGAGTCGAAGCCATCCCCCGTGATGGTGAGCAGCTCCAGCTCCTTAATGCCGATCTCCAGCTCGCACAACTCCTCAGTATGGGAGGCCGAGGCGAGCCGGGGGGTTGCGGGTCCGGGGGTCAAGGGCGAGGCAGCCTCCTCGGGCCCCGGCGGCGGCGAGTAGAAGAAGCGCAGAGGCTCGTAGGGGATGGAGGCCAGGCCGGAGGGCCAGGGTGGAGGGCAGGGGCGCTCGCTGTGGAGCCCCAGGCCCGGCGGCCCCAGGCCCGGCGGCGGCGGCGGTGGTGGCAGCAGGGGTGCTGGAGCCAAGGGCGCCTGTGGCAGGGGCCGGCCCCCGGCCGCCGCTCCCGCCGGGACCCCGCCAGCCTTCAGCGGCACGAAGAGCTTCTTCCAGATGTTAAAGTCGCTGAGCGGGGACGAGGAGATGCCGCGGTCGTAGAGGGATGGGAAGTAGAGAGGCGGGGCCGGCCGCTGGCTCATCGTGGGGCTGTGGCTGCCGCGCCGCCCCTTCGGCATCTTTTGAATGGGAGGCTGCGTGGGAGGAACCCCGCGCCGCCGGACTCGCGCTCGGCCCCGAGTCGCCGAGGTTCTGAAGTTCCACGGGCCACGCCCCGGTGGAGCGCGGCCCCGCCCCTCGAGGCGGGGTTCTACATCCAGGAGGCCACGCCCCAGAACGTGCTCACGCCCATTGACGGTAGGCCACGCCCCAGCCGAGGGGGCGCTTGGGATTTCCGCGGCCGCGCCCTCGGACTTGGCCTAGCAGCTCCTAGGTTTTTGTGCGGTGTCGCGGACGTCGCAAACGCCCGCCTGGCGGTCTCCGCCGCCGAGAGCCTGGCCTCGAACCCGCCCCCCACCATCACCCTGGCTCACAAGCCAAGGGACCCTTCATCCAGAGACAGGAAGCCGGGAGCTGGCCCCGGGCCGCTGGAGAAAGTGCCCTTCAGTCTTCCACTTTAAATCAGAGAAAAAATAGTGCCTCAAACCAGCCTCCTGCCCCGTCCCTCTGCCCTCATTGACCACCCTGGCTGCCAAGAGGCCTGCGAATGGGAGCGTGTGCTTTTCCTGAGCTGCAGTGGGAGGCGGACAGAGGAGCAATGGCTGTTTCCGCCATTGCTTCCGCAGTTCCTTCTGCCGGAGACGCTGGTCTCGGCCTGTAGTAGGCCTGAGCGAGGGAGTGTGTTCCGTGAGATGCAGCTTAGTTCTCTTCCAAGCGCGCGGGCCTACCTTACAGGCGCTCACCGACAGGCAGGGAACGGACCACCAGAACGAAACCCTCTGGGCTCCCCTGGAATAGCCCGCTCGCTCTCACTCCATCCCGGGGACTCGCCCAGCGGCTTAGGAGTCCTCTGAGAGTGTTGGGAAGTGCATGTCCCTGAGCGCCTCAGCCAGACGGCCGCTGGCATACATGAACACGGGTGTCTTCAAAAAGTTAGTGGAAAATAAATGTTATGAAAAAACGTATCAAACTTGTACCAAAACAAACATCTTTTAATTCCATTTTCCATCAGCTTTTGAAGTACCTGTGTGTGTGGAGAGGAAGAGAGACACTGACTCAGATATCCAGGCTGGGCAGCCTTGGGCAAGTTTTTTGAATGCTAAATTGGTTTCTGTAGAACAGAAATAAGAGAACCAGGCCGCCTCACTGGGTTGTTTTCAGAGATCAGACAGACGTCAGAACAGGGTGTGTGAAGCTCTCAAACATTGTCCAGATGCAAGGGGCTGCTCTCCCCACTCAGGGGCTTGCCGGAAGCTAAGGAACATTTTTCTTCCCACACTTAGCTAGAAGCTCTTCGAGGGCAAAGGTCCAGACCAAGGATCCTTTTTTTTTTCTTTTCTTTTTTAAAGATTTTATTTATTTGAAAGAGAGAGAGAGAGAGAGGTCTTCCATCCACTGGTTCACTCCCCAAATAGCTGTTGAGGCTGGGCCAGGCCGGAGCCAGGAGCCAGGAGCTACTTCCGGGTCTCCCACCTGGGTGCAGAGACCCAAGCACTTGGGCCACCTTCCTCTGCTTTTCACAGGTGCATCGGCAGGGACCTGGGCCAGAAGTGCAGCAGCTGGGACTTGAACTGGTGCCCATGTGGGATGCCGGCACAGGCAGCAACTTTACCTGCTATGCCATACCAGCTACCACACCAGCCCCGGCCCAAGGATCTTATAATGCTGAACTGATCACAGGACTCAGTAAGTAGTTGGGAACTTTGGAAACAGTGTTAGTTTTGAGGGCACTGGAAGGATCCGAGTATGCCACCCAAATTATGTTGAAGGGAGCGGCCGAGAGCCGCCCTAAAGGTGGCCTTGATAAGATAGAAAAACAGGAACTTCGACCCAGTACTTTTCCACTGACTATACTTCCTCACTGCTCAACGACCCCCTCCCCTTGTAGTTGCCCAATGAACTCACGCCACCCTATGGTATGTAAATTTTGTGGTTTTGCCCCTTAAAAGCTGTGTGAGATAACTGCTCGGGGCTCCTCTCTTTCCAGTAGGGCCTTTAACTTTTTATGCCCCAAGTGGGTCCATCTATGGAGGTCTTTTATGAGGTCCTTGGCTTCCTTTCTCTGGAGTCTGTGTTTCTGGGGTCTTCTGACAGGCAGAGTGGACAGTGAGAGAGAGAGACAGAGAGAAAGGTCCTTCTTTTTGGCCGTTGGTTCACCCTCCAATGGCCGCCGCGGCTGGCGCGCTGCGGCCGGCGCACCGCGCTGATCCGATGGCAGGAGCCAGGAGCCAGGAGCCAGGTGCTTTTCCTGGTCTCCCATGGGGTGCAGGGCCCAAGCACCTGGGCCATCCTCCACTGCACTCCCTGGCCACAGCAGAGGGCTGGCCTGGAAGAGGGGCAACCGGGACAGAATGCGGTGTCCCAACCGGGCCTAGAACCCGGTGTGCCGGCGCCGCTAGGCGGAGGATTAGCCTAGTGAGCCGGCCGGCTTCCTTTCTTGGCAATACTGTTTTCCCCTGGATCTCCCAGACCTTACGCTGGTCATTGTACGCGCCTCCCAGTCTTTGGATGGCTGTCACATCTTGCTCCGAATATGACCACCCAGGGTTATTTGAGGTTTCAGATGACTGCGTTACTAGAGTGACGCTGTCCAGGGCCCTTGTTTTAGCTACCTCATCTGCCATTCTATTTCCCTTGGCCACTGTGTCATCTCCTTTCTGATGACCTGGGCAGTGGATGATGCTCACTTTCTTAGGAAGGTGGAGGGCTTGTGGGAGGTCTAGGATCTCCTGCTTATTTTTAATGTCCTTGCCCCCTGAGGTTAGCAACCCTCTCCTCCAATATATTTCCCCATGTATATGCGCAGTGGCAAAGGCATAACGGCTGTCGGTATAAATATTTACTCTCCGATTCTTAGCGGCACGAAGTGCTTGGGTGAGGGCCACAAGTTCAGCCTTCTGTGCCGAAGTCCCTGGGGGCAGAGCAGAGGCCCATATGACAGTTTCCCCGTCAACCACCACCGCCCCTGCCTTTCTCTCACCTTGGTGCAAGAAGCTGCTCCCGTCCATATACCAGGTGACTGCGTCTGACAGGGGTAGATCGGTCAGGTCCTCTCGGGTCCCGTGCACTTCGGCTAACACTTGGTGGCAGTCGTGGTCAACTTGTGATTCAGACCCCGGCTCAGGAAGCAGGGTGGCCGGGTTGAGCGAGGCAGCAGTCCCATACCGGACCCATTCAGGGTTGAGCAGCATGGCCTGGTAGTGGGTGACCCTGGCGTTCGAGAGCCATCTATCTGGCGGTTGGCGGATGACGGCCTCGATGGCATGGGGCGCCACTATGGTGAGTGGTTGCCCCAGAGTCAATTTGTTGGAGTCTTTCACCAAGACGGCCACAGCCGCAATCATGCGGAGGCAAGGGGGCCACCCTGAGGTGACACTGTCCAGTTTCTTTGAAAAATACGCCACAGGTCTTTTCCAGGGCCCCAAATTCTGAGTCAAGACACCCTTTGCCACTCCCCCTTTCTCATCCACATAGAGGGTAAAGGGCTTAGTGGGGTCTGGGAGGCTTAATGCAGGGGCCTCCAAGAGGGCCAGTTTTATTCTGTCAAAAGCTAATTGTTGTTCCCTTCCCCAGATGAATGGGGAATTTGTCCTGGTTAGGGGGTACAGGGACGCTGCCATCTCCGCAAAACCCGGTATCCAGAGGCGGCAGAAACCAGCACTGCCCAAGAACTCCCTGAGGTGGCGAGCATTTTTAGGCAGTGGGATGAGCGCTACGGCCTTTTTACGTTCCTCAGTCAGCCACCTCCGACCCCCCTCCAATACGTAGCCCAGGTAGGTCACGCGTTGGGTGCAAAGTTGGGCCTTTTTCGCAGAAGCGCTGTATCCTAGCTCTCCCAGCCTATGGAGTAGGGCCTCCGTACCTTTGGTGCAACCCTGCTCAGTCTCTGCAGCTAACAATAGGTCATCCACGTACTGTAGGAGAGTCAACTCTGGGTGGCTTACCCGGAAATCCGCCAAGTCCTGGTGTAGGGCTTCATCAAACAGCATAGGGGAGTTCTTGAACCCTTGGGGAAGCCTGGTCCACGTTAGTTGTCCCAAAAACCCAGTCTCCGGGTCTTTCCACTCAAAGGCAAAGAGAGGTTGACTCTGGGGACTCAGTCTTAGGCAAAAGAAGGCATCTTTCAAGTCAAGCACCGTATACCAAGTTCGGGTTGGGGGCAGGGTGCTCAGCAGGTTGTACGGGTTGGGGACCGTGGGGTGAATGTCCTCAGCCCTACGGTTTACTTCCCGTAGGTCTTGCACCGGCCTGTAATCATTGGAGCCAGGCTTTTTGACTGGTAACAAAGGGGTGTTCCGAGGTGACTGACAAGGTCTCAGTATGCCCAGTTTTATTAGTCTCTGTATGTGTGGTCGAATTCCGACCTTTGCCTCCGCAGCCATAGGGTATTGGTGGATAGATACGGGAGTGGCCGTGGGCTTCAGGTTTACTATCACCGGGGGCTGTCTGATAGCAAGCCCTACTCCTCCCGTCTCCGCCCAAGACTGAGGGAATTTAGTAAGCCATTCAGGTGCTACTTGGGGCTGAGCTGATAGGGGGCACTCGTGAAGGCGGTGTTCGTCTTCCAGCTGGAGGGTCAACACATGGAGGGGTTGGCCTGCGGGGCCGACTACTGTGGCTCCCTTGTCTTGGAAATGGATCTGGGCCCCAACCTTTGAGAGCAGATCCCTTTCCAGCAGGGGGTATGGGCAGTCCGGTACTAGTAGAAACGAATGCGTGACCCGCCCTGTTGCCAGGTCAACCTTACGCTCAATAGTCCATTTGTACAGTTTTCCTCCAGTGGTCCCCTGGACCCATGATGTCTTGGAACTAAGGAGGCCTCCGGCCATTGTGAGGACTGAATGTTGGGCTCCCGTATCGACCAGGAAGGTGACTGGCCAGCCTCCCACTTTTAGAGTTACCTGGGGCTCAGGGGGAGGCGCCTGGCCCTGACCTACCTAGTCGTCGTCTTCCAGCGCCAGGACGGGTGTTGCTCTCCGCTGGCGCCTTGGCTGTCCTTTGTTCGGGCAATGCTTAGCCCAGTGTCCATTTTCCTTGCAGTATGCGCACTGGTCTCGGTCCAACCGTGGCCTCCATTTGTCTCCCAGGTCCCTATCTTGTCTACCTTTAGTCTGCTCTGGTCCTGTGACTGCGGTGGCCAGGATTTTAACTAAGTCCTTGTTTCTTTTTCTATCTCTCTGATCTTCTCTACATTCCTGTTCTCTGCATAACCTCTCTTCTCTTTCCTCCTTTGTCTCTCTTTTATTGAAAATCTTTTCTGCCTCCTTAACTAGGTCCTGCAGTGTATACCCCTGCAACCCCTCCAGCCTCTGTAACCTTGTGCGGATGTCCAGGGCCGATTGTCCAATGAAGGACATGATTACGTCGGCCTGCCGGTCAGGGGCCTGTGGGTCAAAGGGAGTATACATTCTGTATCCTTCCATTAGCCTTTCTAAAAATAATACACAAGTAAGCAAACTTACCTCCGTCAGGCCGATGGAGTGTGGGAGTCTGGGGTCCCCCAAATCCCGGACGAGCCCCCAAATGAAGGACCCCAAAAGCGGTGCCCTTTTGTGAAGACCCCAGAAACACAGACTCCAGACCAGGCGATGCAAAAAGCAAGAGGCAGTTTTATTTCATTTGCACAAATGGGCCCTCTGCTGGCTGCCGCAAGCCGCGAGAAAGAGAGGAGCCCCGAGCAGTTATCTCACACAGCTTTTAAGGGGCAAAACCACAAAATTAACATACCATAGGGTGGCGTGAGTTCATTGGGCAACTACAAGGGGAGGGGGTCGTTGAGCGGTGAGGAAGTATAGTCAGTGGAAAAGTACTGGGTCGAAGTTCCTGTTTTTCTATCTTATCAAGGCCACCTTTAGGGCGGCTCTCAGCGGCTCTTGGCCGCTCCCTTCAACGTCACTATGCATAGGTTTTGTTGAGCTGAAGGCATCCGAGAACAGCAGATGCAGGAGTGATGCTCTGTCCTCCCCCTCTCCCCCTAAAGGCAGAGCAGAGATTTCCTTTTGTGAAAGTGTCCTGTCTCCCCGGTCTCACGCAAGGGAAAGGAGATGACCCTTACCCCTGAAGACGGTAATAACTTGAGCCTGCATGACAAATGTCATTAAACAACCCTAACTTCCATTCATTTCCCCCTGCATTTCCTTCCTACACTTTACTGCCTTTAGGAGGCCAACCCCCTTTTGTTGACTCCTCACTTGCCCACAGTTTTCACCCTTTGCTAAAATGGTAGTATAAGCGCCCAGGCCTAACCTCTTGAGTTTTGACTCCTTTGCAGTGAGGTTCCTGTGTGCATGTGCAACAAACCTTTTGTCCTGTTTCTTTGTCCTTATCAGTTTAATTCACAGCCACTGAGTCTAAGAAGATTGAGGACAAATGTTCTTTCCACCCCTCCAGAACCATGAGAGTGATGAGAATGATGATTCTGGGCTCAGATGTGGGTCCAAGCCCTGGCTCCACTACGTACTGGATTGTGTAGTTGAATCGTTCATCTATTGAATGAGAATGGCAATGGCACCAGATCACTTGGATTGGCAAAGCTAAGTGAGCCTGTCTAAACACTAGGTCACGCTATGTGCTCTGTGTTAGCTGTTGCTGTTACAAGTTGCAGATCCTTAGAAGGTAAAGAGATTTTGCATTGTGTTTTTTAAGTGTGCAATAGGATCACGTCTCTACTTGTGTATATCTAAGAAGGAAAGACTTATAGATTTTTCCCTTATAACAAGATAATCTGAACAGATTTTATACTTGTGAGCTTAATGGTAAATGCAGTTACAGTTGGTGAATTAAATAGGTTGATAACAAAATCGTTCTTTCTAATAACTACACAAGAAAACCCAAGTGCCTCAGTAAATCAACACTGAGCTAGCCTGTCTGGAGGCGAAGCCGACGTGGGCTAATAACCAACGTGGTAGTTAAGGACAACCATCCGGATTGTTTCTGCAGACAGATGTCCCGGAAGCTCAGTTTGCTGACAGAGAGACTGGGCAGGCTTGAACCAGCTGCAACAGAAACTCTTCCCGCCTCGGGCTCCGCAGGGCAATGTCACACTCCTCCCACTCCTATTTCCCGTAAAGCACTGTGCTGCTGGCTTCAGCCCCCTGCCCCTGTCCCTGCGCCCTGCTCTCGTTTGGATCCAACTGAGAGACACACGAGTCCTTCTTTGTAGACTTCCCGGCAGAGGCCTGGCTCTCACGAGAAGTTGTCTGTGCCACAATGTAAGGCCAGGCTAGTCTAGGAGACCCAGAACAGTGTGTCCTTCATCACTCCCTGAATTCACCATTGTGTTGGCCTGGATTTGGAGCCCAGGCATTCCTGCCTCCCTTCACAATGCCCATACTTCAAGAAAGTGCCCTGATTCTTGCTGGGTTTTTTAATTGGGGGGTGGAGGTGGGGTTTTTTGCAGAGTAAGCAAAAAAGCAATTTTTTTCTTTTAATGAAATGAAGACTGAGAAGGACTTGAGTGGGATGAGGAGGCCTGGAAGACCAGAGAGCTGGCTTTAAACCGCACCAGTCGTGTCAGCTGGCTGGGCTACCTTGGACGAAATCATCATAGCTGGTACTGCTGACCTCTCACTATTACGCAATCTCCTGTTACCCTAACGGTGCCACTTGACAGGTTTGTGGGAATTTTCTGTCCACCAGCAAAAGAAGTTGACACAATTTATCAGAGGACTAGGAGCTGGCTCAGGAACGAGGTTGAGAAGGCGCAGAGACCAGGCTGACTTCCGAGAGCCAGGGAGAGGCCGGAATCCACACACTCTCCTGCGCAGCCTGGGGTGGGAGATGTTACTTGCTGGCCCTCGTCAAAGCCTATTTGCAACTCTTCTACCTATAGCTGCCTCACCCACAAGGCTAAAAGAAGTCAGTGCCAGCTTTGCCCATCCTCCTGTCACCTAGGGGTGGGTGGCCAACAGACTCTTCCAGCCAGAGAATAGGACGGAGAAGATAGCGGGGAGTCTTCTGGGAAAGATCGTACTTTTCTGGTGAGGGGGACAGACACAATGGAAGCTTTTCCTTCATTTTCCCTTCCAGCCCTGCACTGAACGCCGCGTTGGAACTTCTGCAGTCACATGATCACGAGGGAAGGATCACACACAACACAAACATTCCAGTCCGGACGCTGTTAAGTAGCTGAACCACTGCCCAAGCTGCCTGTTTCCAGATTGCTTGTGCTAAGAGATTTGCTACACTGATTTGGGTTGTCTGTTACTTGCAGCTGAGTGCCTTCTTGACAGACTCATAGCCCCAACCAGTTTTTTTATTAGAGTCCTTGAGTAACTCGACAAGACAAATTCCAGGACAGAACATGCCCATCAGTTCTCCAGATAAGGACAGGCAACCTTGATTAACAGTCTCCTCCAAGGGGCCAGCATTGTGACACAGAGGATTAAGCCACCACCTGTGATGCTACCATCCCACACAGGTATCAGTTCAAGTCCCTGCTGTTCCACTTCTGATCCAGCTCTCTGCTAATGCGCCCTGGGAAGCAGTGAGAGATGGCCCAAGTACTTAGGCCTCTCCTCCCATGTGGGAGACCCGGATGAAGCTCCTGGCTTCAGTGTAGCCCACCCCTCATCCTTGCAGCTACTGGGGGAGTGAACCTGTGGATGCAAGGTCTGTCTCTCTTTCTGCCTCTCCTTTTCCCTTTGTAAATCTGCCTTTCAAATAAATACATCTTAAAAAGTCTCCTCCAAGGTGAAATTTAAAGGGTTGTTCTGGTTGTCACCAGAAAGGAAGAGGAACAGATGCCAAGTGGCTAAAAATTAGACACCTGTTACAGTCGGTGCCGTCTGTAAAACCGACGGTGACACGGGCTCTGCAGTACTGTCTTCTCTTACCTAACAGGGAGGGGAGGCGTTCAGTTAGCACTCATCAGTGAACTTCTTACCTGGAGCTGTCTTGGTCAGGGGCTTTGGGCTACAAGAAACAGAAACTTTCTCAAGCTAGTTTAAGCAACAAACAAGTACAGAGGAAACTACAACATGGACAGACCTCAATGAATCCAAGAGCAGAGCACCTGGGCCCTACCGCCCCAGTCAGTGAAATGGGTGCCTAATTTTTAAAGATTTATTATATTTGAAAGGCATAGTGATGGGAGAGAGAAAGGGAGAAACAGAGAGAAAGAGGTCTTCCATCTGCTGGTTCACTCCCCAAATGGCTGCAATGGTTGGGGCTGGGCCAGGACAAAGCCGGGAGCCTGGAACTCCATCTGGGTCTCCTGTGGGTGGCAGGGGCTCAGGTACTTAAGCCATCTGCTCTTTTACCACACACGTTAGCAGGGGGCTGGATTGAGAGCCAAGGAGCTGAGACTCAAACTGGCACTCATATGGGATGTCAGCATAGCAGGAGGCAGCTTAACCCACTACACCATCATGCTGGCCCCGACCATTCATATTTAAAATTGAGAGAATTAAGTGAATTGTACACAGATAGTGCTTACAAAGCACACAGTAAACTCTCAGGTTGTAACCAGGTCCCATCAAGTCTATACTAAGAAGACTTTATGAGTTATAACTCAAAATTTCAGTTCTGGCCAAAGCATTGTATCACACAACATATGAAAGCCAATTCCACTCTAGTAATAGCACCACCATCTTACCAGCATGGACATTTTCGGTTGCTTCCTTACCTCCTGGTAAACCTACAATTAGACTGGACGGAGGTAGTGCAGCCAGCATGAGTGTAATGAGTGTATAGGGTCCACACACTGGGGTTGCTCCTTTGTATGTAGCCAAGAATAGCAAGGATGGAAAAGCTGACAGCAGGAAGGAAGCTCTCCACTCCACAGTAAAGAACACTGAGTTTCCCAGCTTGGCATATTTGTTCTCTAGATGCAGGCCCTCCTCTCTCTGAGAGGTTCTGGACCTGCACAGCTACTGGGGAGAGAGACCCTCCTTACCTACAACAGACCACCAGAGGCACCCACCCAGAAATGAAGGCATTGTGGTCACGCATTTCACCTCCAGATAATATGAGTAGAAGCTTTAATTTTTTTTTATTATTTTTTTGACAGGCAGAGTGGACAGTGAGAGAGAGAGACAGAGAGAAAGGTCTTCCTTTGCCATTGGTTCACCCTCCAATGGCCGCCGCGCCAGCGCGCTGCGGCTGGCGCACCGCGCTGATCCGATGGCAGGAGCCAGGAGCCAGGAGCCAGGTGCTTTTCCTGGTCTCCCATGGGGTGCAGGGCCCAAGCACCTGGGCCATCCTCCACTGCACTCCCTGGCCACAGCAGAGAGCTGGCCTGGAAGAGGGGCAACTGGGACAGAATCCGGCGCCCCGACCGGGACTAGAACCCGGTGTGCCGGCACCGCAAGGCGGAGGATTAGCCTAGTGAGCCGCGGCGCTGGCCAGAAGCTTTAATTTGAATGTGATTATCCACTGTAGAATTTTAAGCTGAATAATCATATAATATGGCAATTTGAAAAGCAGATCCCTGGTTGGTTGACTTAGGCAGTGTGGTTCATTGTAGGTCTCGGATCCCTTAACAACTGTAGAGTACTTAGAAAAGCAGTCAGCTCTCAAGTTGTGTCTGTGTTATGCTCCAGAGTTGGCATCTCTTATCACACCCCACATTTTACCTGCCACATCCTTTATAAATGCATGACCTCAAATCTAACAATTTTTGAGGTGGGTTCAAGTCCATGAGGCTGACTACAAGATCATGAGAAGAATATACCCATACCTTCAAGTCCAGTACTTCCAAGAATAACCTGCACAATGAATCAGCATCTTTCAGGGCATAGGCTGAGTTCCACTTACCTCCCCACTGGGCATGCCTTCAGAGCTCTCCCCCCAAAGCAGATCTGCTGGAGCTACCACCATGCAGGACTGAGCACCCGGTGGCTCCTGGAAAGCCAGGTAAACCCTACTGGCTCTCCACTCCTCTGGCCTGTGGGTCCAGGCACTCAACTCTGATTGGTTGTCACTCTGTCACTGAGTGACATTTCTGCAGAGACCTCCTAACTTTAGGCCACTCATGGGACCTTTGCTGATTCTGACTGCTCATCAGCCTTCTCCCCGTTTCCCCACTTAGCAGCACCCACAGTCTGCTTCAGAGAACGACCCTTTCCCTAAAGCGCTCTGGCCAAGTAGCCACATGACCCAAGACAGCAGACAGACTCATTCCCAATTCTTGGCTTTTTGGAGTCTAGTTTTGTGCCCCCCCCCCCCCCCCGCAATCCAAAAAATTCATTTTATGCTGCAGGGAGTCAAAATCCCTTCTAGTTCCTTAAACTCACATGGAATGAGCTGCTTTGCTCAGCCAGTGGCTGTGGGCATGGGAATACTTCCACAGGGAGAGGAAGGAGTCACACCTAGTATCTTCTGTTGGAACAGAGAATTACGGAGAATGTAAGGAAAAAGAGCACACAGCACCAGGGCGATGCAGGCTGCGATGGGGACTCTGTTCGTCCATGTTTGGTTCATGACATCAGTACATGGAAACAGACCCGCCCAAGACCCCCTTGCAGCCACTATGTGCAGCGCGCTGGAGATGCCCTTATCCTTCGCAGTCAATAACCACACACAGCCATTTGATTCACTTTATTTTCAGAAAGGTGTCATTTATTTGCATTCAGGCGTCTTCAAAGAATACATTTTAAAAAGCTAATCAAGAAATTCTTCTTTTATCTGCAAAGATGAAGCTGTGTTGTTAGATGCAGCCAAGGTCCTAGGAGTACAAAGACCATTCCGATTTCCTGGAGCCGGTTAATGACTTTGATTTACAGCACCCAGAGGCAGGCACCTACACCTTCCTGACAGCTTCAGCGTACGCTAAAGCGTGCTGACAGTCCGTGCTGAGTCAGCCAGCAGTCACCGGGCTGAAGGGAGGCCGGCAAAACACGTGCCCGCGGATTTGTTGCTATTAATAGGAAGTCTCAAATTGCAGCCCCAAAGGCTGTCCCACTGCACTCCCCCCACCCCCAACACACACACATGGAAAGGTCCTCCTACCAGGGACATTTAAAACACAAGTATGCACACAGTAGACCGCTCACTCCTTAACAGTGTGCATGCAAAGCCAAGATATCCCACTGTTCCAATTTAAAAAGGGGGCGGGGGAGGACAGATTCCACACACCATTCATTACATGCTCTATGTTTTTCTAGTGAAAGACAGCGAAGTCCATTCAAAATTTAGAGACAAAGGAAAACTCAAATTTCAGTCACTGGCACGTCTCTAAAGCCAACCTTGGGTTTCCACACCCTGCCATCTGGACAGCCTACCCCCCCCCCCCCCCCCGCCAGATGTCCCCTGGTTGAGAACGGTCATTCCAATCAGCCTGCATTAAGAGCCTCATTGCAGGGGCTGGCGCTGTGGCGTAGTGGGTTAAGCCTCTGCCTCCAGCACTGGCATCCAAATGGGCCCGGTTTGTGTCCCAGCTCCTCCTCCTCTGATACAGCTCTCTGCTATGGCCTGGGAAAGCACTAGAAGGTGGCACCCACATGGAAAACCTGGAAGAAGTTCCTAGCTCCTGGCTTCAGATCGGCTCAGCTCCAGCCATTGTGGCCATTTTGGAAATGAACCAGCAGATGGAGGGCCTCTCTCCCTCTCTCCCTCCCCTCTCTCTCTGTAACTCTGCCTCTCAAATAAATAACACAATCTTTATTTTTAAAAAAATAATGAAAAGAAACAGAAAAGAATCCTCCTGGCCTGCCCCATGAAAAGCCCTGGTCATGCACCTAACCTCATCCAGGACACCAGAGGGAAGCGCCCGAGGGTTGCAGAGATCCTGCTCAAGCTGTTGCCACAGGCCAGGCTCCCACAGCGCGAAGCAGAAGCACGCAACCCAGCCCAGGCAGCACCCGCTTCACTCTTCCGCTGCCTCCCCCACGCGGGCCTGCACCAGGAACGCTCCCCGGCCCTCTCGGGCTCCCTCTCTTTTCTCTAAAGTGCTGGAGTTCATTTTATTCTTTCCCAGCGGGAACCAGGCAGGGAAGTGAAAGCTTCTGGAATACAGCAGCAAGGACAGGGGGCTCTAGAGCGGGGGCATTCAGAGGAGGCCCTCCTGGTGTCAGGTCAGAGACAGAGGTTCCTGGCGGCTGCCAGAAGCGGGGCCACCAGCAGCACCGTCCTCCCGGTTAAGGCCGTCCCGTCGTCCTCCGGGCCATTACACAGGTCCTTGCGGCAGCAGTTGTACTTTAACGAGTTCTCTTCTAATCTGTTGGAAATGAACTCAAAATTGCAATCTTCATACCGCCAACACTGACGGTACACTCGCGGCCCTGGAGGAGACAGACACACACACACACACACACACACACACACACACACACGGTGAGAACGAAGGTGGGTAAAGTTCCGAACCCGCCTCTGGCCGCCCGGTGCTACCGCTCAGAACCCAGCAGAGGGAAGCAGGGACATGCAGGCATGCTATTCATCCCAGCTGCGTTGTAAAGAGGAACATAAGTAAGTGCTGACACACCACTAAATGGAACTTTTCCCTAAAGCCTCAGTCTCAGCAGAGCCAGTCCTGTGTGTGTGTGTGTAAGGGGACAGCAACAGACATCTATACTGTCGTTAAAGAGGGAAATCTGGTAATAGCTACCAAAATTTAAACATACACTCCCTCTGTTCCCACAATTCCACCTTTAGAATTTACCCTGTGACAGTACTTGTAGAAGAAATTAAGATATATACGCAAAAATGGTCACTGTAGTACCATGTGTACAGCAAGAAACTGAAAAACCATCTGTTGATTAAAGTGTTTGAAGGAAGTAGGATAGAATTCCATACACTGGAATTCCATGTAAATAAGGAATGACAGAGGCCTGTGAGTATGGGCACAGAACAACCTTGAGTTTAAAGAAAAAATGCAAAACGCACAGATGAGTTGGACTTTATCAAAATTTAAACTTTTGTATTTCAAAGGACATTAATGGGAAAAGTAAAAAGATAAACAATAGATAAGCTTTTTTTCTGCAAGTCATATGATAAAAATTTAGTATCTAAAACATTCTTACAACTCCACAACAGAAAGAAAATAATCCTTATTTAAAAATAGTCAAAGGGCCTGAACAGATACTTTCCCAAGATTTGCAAATGGCCCACAAGCACAAGAAGACACTCGGTGCCACCACTCATTAGGAAAATGCAAATCAAAATTGCAATGGGACATCACTTCACACCACCAGGATGGCTGAGGTCGAGAAAATGGAAAATAATAAGTGCTGGCAAGAAAGAGAAACTGGAACCTCCAAACACTGCTGGCAGGAACAGAGAATGATTGCAGATCACTGCAGATCATGTTTGGCAGCTCCTCCAAAAGTTAAAACAGGGCCGCCATAGGACTGAGCAATTCTGCTCCTAGGTACATACACCCGAGAGTTGGAAACAACGTTCACACAGAAGCTTGTGCACCAATGTTCACAGCAGCAGCATCCAAAATAGCTAATGAGTGGCAGCAGTATAAATGTCTACTAGCCGGTAAAGGATAGGCCACACGTGGTGTTCTGTGGGACGTTGATTGGCCATAACAAGGAATGAGGGACTGAGACATGCTACAACATGCGTGGGCATTGCAAGCACTTCGCTCAGTGAAAGCAGCGTCCCCAAGGACATCATGGTCTGAGTCCACTGCCATGAAGCATCCAGAACAGGCCCAGCTGTGCAGATGCAAAGCAGACCAGGGGCTGCCGGGAGTGCAGCACTGCTAACAGGTAAGGGTCCCGGAGTTAGACAGTGGTGACACTTGCACAAGCTTGTGATACACTAAGAGCCACCGAATTGTACATGTTACAATGTCAATTTCTGCTATGTGAACTGTACCTCAAAAAAAAAAAAAAAAAGAAAAAAGAAAAACTGCTAACTGCAGAAGAGCGTGTAGAATGTGATTCAGCTGTGTAAATGAAGCGTCCACGTCCACGTCCACGTCCACGCATGGGGGCGGGGGAGGATGCATCAGCTCTTCTCTCGCACGAGTCCTAAGCAATTTAACAGTGTTACCCTCAGGGAAGAATGCTCTTCATGTGTTTGTCTCCATATGGATTAAGTTTGCTTTTTAATTGTCATATGGATGACTTTTATTTTAAACTTCATTTGAAAATCATTATTCAGTATATAGAAAAAGTTTCCACAAGACATGCCAATATGGTTTGATCTTTTGAAAAAATATAATTGAGGACACAGGAAAATAATAACCAGAAGTTTATATGCGAAGTATTTATAGTGGTTTTTAGTATTCAAAAAGAGCATTTTGGGGCCAGTGTTATAGTATAGTGGATTGAGACATCACTTGTAACACTGGCATCCCATATGGGTACCGGTTTGTGTCCTGACTTCTCCACTCCTAATCCAGCTCCCTGCTAATCTGTCTGGGAAAACCAAGAAAGATGGTCTAAGTGCTTGGGCCCCTGCACCTTTGTCGGAGGTCTGGCAGAAGCTCCTGGCTCCTAGCTTTGGCCTGGCCCAGCCCTGGCCATTTTGGCCATTTGGGGAGTGAGCCAGTAGATGGAAGATCTCTTTCTCTCTTGTTGTCTTTTCCTCTCTCTTTGTAACTCTGCCTTTCACATAAAACAATAATTTTTTTTTTTTTAAAAAAAGAGCATGTTAAAACATTAGTTGAGTGAGAGGTGTTATGGTAGATTTCCTTCTCCAAAACTAAGTGTCTATGTAGCAGACTGTGTGCTCAATACTGGGGATACACAGGTACAGAAGGCATGCTCCTCACCCTGGAAGATTTTCCTATCTTACAGACTACAAAGAAAAACAGCAGGGAGGGCCGGCGCCGCAGCTCACTAGGCTAATCCTCCGCCTTGCGGCGCCGGCACACCAGGTTCTAGTCCCGGTCGGGGCACCGGATTCTGTCCCGGTTGCCCCTCTTCCAGGCCAGCTCTCTGCTGTGGCCAGGGAGTGCAGTGGAGGATGGCCCAAGTCCTTGGGCCCTGCACTCCATGGGAGACCAGGATAAGTACCTGGCTCCTGCCATCAGATCAGCGCGGTGCGCCAGCCGCAGCGGCCATTGGAGGGTGAACCAAGGGCAAAGGAAGACCTGTCTCTCTGTCTCTCTCTCTCTCACTGATCACTCGGCCTGGCGCTCAGCTCAGTACCAGGGAGTCGGACAGAAGCTCCGCGGGGATGCCTATTCTCTGTGGAGTTATGTCATCTCTATTCATGGCTTGGAACAAAATGTGCCTCGGTTTATTACTCCAGGTATAACTGTCCTCTCCTGTCCCAGAGTCTACTTGCTCAAGTCAGAATTCTTTAAGCAGATGTTCCTGATGTTGAACTAGAAGCTGCTATTATGAAAAAGTACTGGAACCCAAAAACCTTTAAATCTCTCAGAATTTTAATTAGGGGAGCCTAATATCTTGGGGAGAAGAGATTACAGGTTATTAATATTGTCATTTTCTGTGTGTCCCCACAGCGCGCCTAGCACTGTACTTGAATTATCATGCTTGAATAATAACCTTAGGAGGATAGTCTTCTCACCAAAGCCAGCATCAGGATCACCCACACAGAAGTTCATTCTTAGAGGCTCTCTGGCCCGTCCTCCCACTCCTAGCCTTGGCTTCAGTCCACTGAAAGCAGCAGTCTCCAACTGTGCTGAGCACCCTGAAGGGTGGCCCTCATTGTTACTGCAGCAAGGGCCACTCAGCACTGACATCGGAGGCTTGTCCAAGACGCCATGGTTCACACAGCCAGGGCACAGGAAGTGATGATCGCACCTGCTTCTCTTCTCGACTCTGCACAGCGCTCTCATATCCATTCTCCTTCCTAACTGCTCCAATGACCCTAGAGAAACATGTTCCCAATCTGCAGCTGGGAGGAAAACTGGGGCCAGAGAAGGGCCATGATTCCCTCTTGTAGGGCCCCACCTTTGACTCAGTGCGCTCTGCCTCCCCCGACCTCACGTCAGCCAGGGCCAGTGGTGCTATGGATGCTCTGCTAAGCACCTTATAGTAGGACCAGAACACAGAACACTTACAGAGTTATCCCTCAGTATCCACAGGGTATTGGGTGTAGGACCCATAGGGATACTGAAGTCCAAGGATGTTCAAGTTGCTTATACAAAATGGCACAGTATTCAGGCTGGTGTTGTGGCATAGTGGGCTAAGCCTCTGCCTCCAGTGCCGGCATCCCATATGGGTGCCAGTTTGTGTCTTGGCTGCTCCTCTTCCGATCCAGCTCTCTGCTTATAGCTTGGGAAAGCAGTGGAAGATGGCCCAAGTGCCTGGGCCCCTGCACCCGTGTAGGAGATCTGGAAGAAACTCCTGGCTCCTGGTTTCGGGTCAGCCCAGCTCTGGCCATTGTGGCCATTTGGGAAGTAACCAGTGGATGGAAGATCTCTTTCTCTCTCTGTAATTGTACCTCTCAAATAAAAATAAAATCTTTGGTGCTCAGTCCTCTGTCTCTCTGCTGAGCTGCCCACCTGACCTACCCAGGTGTATTCTCTCCATTCAACCGTGTAACCTCGCTCTCCCCCAGTCCGAGTGACTCTGTTCCTTCCGTTCTGATGAATGCCCTATCCCCAATAAAGCCTTATCACTCCTCTGTCTCACACTTGAATTCTTTCTTGCATAAAGACAAGAACCCCACGGCTTCCACGGCCTTTCCTTCAGTGACGTTTCTGGTGACCATGAAGGGACCCACACAGGAAGGATCCACAGAGAAACCCACGAGAGAATTCATGAGGGGTCAGGAAGGGATTGAAAGAAAACTCCATGCAGAAGGGAAGTTACTGCTGTTCTGCAGGACTCTCCACTGTGATGTACGGTTTGACCCCCAGACCTTATAAAAGGGATGACTGAACTTTTATGTAATAATGCCTGGCCACAGTATAGAGGACCAGGTAGCATAGCCAGAAAATGAGAGATTAAACTATGAAATGATTTTGCAGCTAGACTGATTTTTCTGTGTACACAGTAAATGGACAGAACTCCCCTTTTAAATCGAACTTAAGGGGAGATAGGAAGTTGTACTGATGACCTCAACATATATAAACAGGTCACCACAGTTGATCTTACCTAAAAGGTCATAGTTCTCTTCATGGGCACGACTTTTATATACAGGGAAATACTAAGTGTCAGAATTTGTCCATGACTATAATTTTCTAACTCACCCTGAGAAGATTAAGGAAATCTTCAAAAATCAGGGTTGGGTTGAGCACCCCCTTGACTGACATCATAGAGGCTGCCTCCCTGGTCTACTTTATTAGAGACCAGGAAAACGAGGAGCAAGCTAGTGGCAGGAGCAATGTAAGGTTAGGCACCAGGCCAATCAATGG